ATGTGGACACAGGCTGGCTTTGTGCGAGGGAGCCGTTTCATGCCAGACCACTTTGTGATGCTGAAAGAGTTGCATGATGTTGACACTTTAAATCTTGATAACAGCTCTTCCTCTGACAGTGAATGCTGCAGTGACCTAGAGGTAGCCCCCAGTTTGTCTGTACAAACTGCAGTCACCTGTGCTAACTCTAGATCTGATACCTCCCCTTCACTCTTTCTAGTGTCTGAATCTTCTAACACCAGTGCCCTCGATACCCTTCTCGATCTTGCAACTAGGTCCGTTGAGAGCAAGAGGATCAGTGAGGAGTCTGACAGTGGTAGGAATTCAGGGGGAAGCCTTGGTGGCTCTGCAGATTTTGATTTCCATGATTTTTCCTCATCAGATTCAGATTCAGGCACACCTGTCACCACTGCAGCTGGTGGCCAGCATCTGCCTGGTTATTTTCTGTCAACTGCCGAATTGTTTGCTATTCTGGCAGAAAATGAGGTAAGACCTTTGGAGAAAATTCCACCAGGAAAAAAAACGGGATGTGTTCTTTGTCTTTGACAACACAATGTCCAGCGCATGAAAAAAAAAAATCAGTACGGAAAGTTGATGACTGTGGAGCCTGGACAAGTGGTGGTCCAACAAACATGGCTAGGTTTGTATATGTCAACAGTACCACGTTGACAGAGGTCAAATTCAAGGATGGTTTGTACCACACTGAGTGTCGTAAGCGCAGCAAAGGCCGCGGTGGTCGGATGCATATACTGACAGCCCTACAGCCTCAGCCTCATGTCGACCAGGTTTTTGTGCTGCACAGGGCTTATTCGTACCACAGCAATAGGCATGAGTACAAACGGCGCATTTCCTGGATCACTCAAAGTAACACAAAGCTACAAAGCATTGCTGTTGCTGAGTATCTTGGCAAAGTACCTGCGCGCACTTCCGCATGGGGTCAGCAAGAATGCCAATGCGCGTCAGTACCTCCGTACAAACCCAGCACTGTTGGACCAGGTTAAGTCCAAAGCACTGCACCAGCCTCCCAAGCAGGTGTGGCAGGACCTGTATGACAGAAACAAGTTAGTGGATGGTCTACATTCTGTCCAACAGGTACACAATGCAAAGTATTGGCAAAACAAGAAACAGCAAATACAGGACGGCAGGTGCAATAATAGAAACTTTGCTGACCATATACAGACTGTACAGTCCATGCTAGAAAGTCACGGCCACTTTGTCAAGAGCGTGAATTTAATGAGTGGTAAGGTCCCAACAGTTACCCTGTATACAGACCAACAGATCCAGGACATCAAACGGTTCTGTTGTCTCAGTAACCAGGAGCAAGGTGCAGTGCTTGGGTTTGACAAAACCTTCAACTTGTCAAACGTTCATGTTACTGTAGGTGTTTTCAAGCACCTGGCTGTGAAAAGACGCAACACAGGCAACCATCCCCTTTTCATTGGGCCAATCTTCTTGCACGGCAACTCAGATATTGGTACATACTATGACTTCTTTGCAGAGTTGTCTGCAAAAGTGCACGGCACACCGCCACCCATACTGGGATCAGATGACGAAGGTGGCTTGCGGAATGGCATGAAGAAGGCTTTCCCAATGTCCTGCACACTCTGCTGCACCAGACATCTCAAAAAGAACATTGAATGCCAACTTGCAGACAAAATAGGTGTGGCAGAGAATGTAAGGAAAGCCATTGTAAAGTCACTATTTGGATCAAATGGTGTTAGTGCTTCCACTGGTGCCACGCAATTCAAACGCAGATTGGCCCTCACCCGTGCATTATACATGAAAACGGCACCCGCGTTTGACACATATTTCCAGCGTTACGTGGCCCAACCATTGCAGGACAACTTCCAGACTAAAATGCAATATCCCTGGACTGCTGCTTTCGGTAACTGGACTAACAATAACTGTGAAAGTGTGAACAGTGTACTGAAGCGGCAAGTAAACTGGAAGACACTTCCCCTGCCAGACCTTGTGCTAAGCCTGGAGAAGCTCGTAAGATTACAATATGAAGACTTACGGCTTGCACTGGTTGGGCAGGGTGACCTGGTATTGTGCCAGCCATATATGCGCTTTTACAAATCCATTGATGACTGGAGCAGAGCGGACACAAAATCATGCAATGATCATTTTGCCCAGTTCATGAAGTCTGGCCATAGGGTGCAACAACAGACCTCAGTTTCAACTGATGGTAAGTTATGTGTGACCCAACCAAATTCACGTGGCGGAAAGAAACCTGGTCAGACCAAAAGGAGGAAGGCAACAAAGACCACAAGCATTCCCAAGAAAAAAGTGGTCATGTGAGACTGGTGAGGGAAATGTACCTCCCAGCAGTCGTGTGAGACTTTTGAGGGAAATGTACCTCCCAGCAGTCGTGTGAGACTGGTGAGAGAAATGTACCTCCCAGCAGTCGTGTGAGACTGGTGAGGGAAATGTACCTCCCAGCAGTCATGTGAGACTGGTGAGGGAAATGTACCTCCCAGCAGTCATGTGAGACTGGTGAGGGAAATGTACCTCCCAGCAGTCGTGTGAGACTGGTGAGGGAAATGTACCTACCAGCAATCATGTGAGACTGGTGAGGGAAATGTACCTCCCAGCAGTCATGTGAGACTGGTGAGGGAAATGTACCTCCCAGCAATCATGTGAGACTGGTGAGGGAAATGTACCTACAACAGAATCCAAAATAATAAGGGAAAATCCATTTTATTCCCTTTTTTTCGACTTGAGATTCAGAAAATGAAGTTTTCAATTTTACGGAATTGCAGTCGTTTTGGCTGGTTATTTAGAAATCCAAGAAACTCATATCTAGATATTCAAGACATATTGAGTAAATTTCCTCATAGAGAGTTTTGATTATTCAGACATGTAGGGTGGATTTCTGGAATTGGAAGGCGAAGATACATGGACTTTGAGTAATTTTACTCAAGACGGGCATCCTGAGTAATTCTAGTCAAGACGGACATTCTGAATCTGAGTAATGTTACTCAAGACCGGCATTCTGGGTAATTTTACTCAAGACAGGGAACTCTGAATAATTTTACTCAAGACAGGCATTCTGAGTAATTTTACTCAAGACAGGCATTCTGAGTAATTTTACTCAAGACAACCATTCTGAGTAATTTTACTCAAGACAGGCAGTCTGAGTAATTTTACTCAAGACCGGCATTCTTAGTAATTTTACTCAAGACAGGCATTCTGAGTAATTTTACTCAAGACAGGGAACTCTGAGTAATTTTACTCAAGACAGGGAACTCTGAGTAATTTTACTCAAGACAGGCATTCTGAGTAATTTTACTCAAGCGGGCATTCTGAGTAATTTTACTCCAAACAGGCATTCTGAGTTATTTTACTCAAGCGGGCATTCTGAGTAATTTTACTCAAGACCGGCATTCTGAGTAATTTTACTCAAGCGGGCATTCTGATTAATTTTACTCAAGACAGGTATCTGAGTAATTTTACTCGAGACGGGCATCCTGAGTAATTTTACTCAAGACGGGCATTATGACTATACTCAAGCCCGGGAACTCTGAGTAATTTTACTGAAGACTGGCATTTACTCAATGCATCAAGGCATAAGGACTGCTTGACTAACCCTCACTACTTAGCCCTCATACTGTCAGGAGCCACAAAATACTTTTTTTCTCTCTAAAGCTCACCCAGAGAGCTGTGCCTTTTTGTTCTTGGGTGACGTGAACCACGTATATGTATTCAAAGTGCGTGGGGCTAGCTCTACCTGTCGTCTGCCAGCTCTAAGATATCTGCCAGTAAAACAGTTTCGGAATGAAAACAAACACATGCTTCGCAACAACCACACCTTCAAAAGCATTTCAGTATCAATAGAATCCAAAATAATAAGATAAAATAAAAGATTTTTTGTCACGTCGGGCGGTGCGTGGGTAACATGGCCAGCGTTTAAGTGCAGTGTATTATACTATTAGTTTTAATATCAGTATACTGTAATAATTTTGATATTTAACATTTTTTGCTAACTTGAAGAATTAAGTTGATCCGCGTTAATTTTTGTATCGCGCGTGTCCTTTGTGTTTCGCTTGAACTCGAGGTCCTTCCCGCTGCTAAAAGCCTCTTCGCCGATATCGCTGCTTTAACCTCGTTATCGATACCGATTTATTTCACTTAAGACGTGTACTTTGAGTCATTGACTCAAGATGGGAGTGATTGTAGAGATATTAATATAGAATAGAATACAATTCAGCACCATTGAAAGTAAGAAGTTGAAAACGCATGGGATTTATTTAAATCCTAGCCTCAAAACAGGGTTACAAAGAGAAGAAAGGTACAAAAAGGTGCAAAATGGAACTTTTACAGATTCTGAACTATAAGAAGCACAACATTACTTACATGTGGATTTAAACCGAACTCGAGAAGGTACTCTAAGTTTAATTCATTCCGTTTAAGCAAGTAGGTCAAAGTTAGCCTCCTGTGCAGGCCCCGCGGCGGTGGAGAAGAGTTTTTAACGCGTTATTTTAATATAGCCGGCCAT